GTCTTTCCTTGCAAGTGTTCATTACAAAGAGTCATTGGTCTGGTTTGAGGCCCCTGGTTTCTACTACACTATTGATGCTGGGCCCTCACGGGGGCTCTTTCTGGATATCTGGTTGTTGCCCTGTGTTGTAGAGATCCTGCAGCTTTGGGTCTGTGGGTCAGGTCCCTTCATGTGCTCCAGCAGATCAGCACCTCATTAATTATTTTTTTAAGGACCTGTAGTATACCACTGGGCTATAATACTATACTTTATCCACTTATACTATAATTTCATTATCCATTTACCTATTGGATAGACAGGTAGATTGTTTATTTCTTAGTTATTGTGAATGACAGAAGGAGCATGACATTGCAGTGCTTTGGTTGGCATTCTGATTTCGGTTCCCTTGGATATAATTTAGAAGTGAGGTCCTGGATCATATGTCACCTCCACACAGTTCTCCATAGTGGATAAACTAATTTGCATTCCCACCAACAGTGTATGGGGTTTCCTTCCCTCCATGTTTTTACTGATACTTGTTACTGTTCATCCTTTCAACAATAACTATTGTAGCCTGGTGGCGTGGCACATGCCTTTAATCCCAGCACTCGGAGGCAGAGCCAGGTGGATCTCTGTGAGTTTGAGGTCAGAAAAAAAAAAGTCATAATAACTATTCTAACAGATGTGAACTGATAAGTCATTATAATTTTATTCTGCGTTTTTTGTAATGATTTATATTGAGCATTTTGACAAATACTTTCTGGATATTGGTATTTTCTTTTGTCCATTTTGACTATGGTGGTTTTACCAAAAAATACTGTCCTCAAAATGTCCATACAATACAAAGCAATATTTATCAAAATTCCAAAGGTATTTTCTCAGAAGTAGAAAAAACAATGCTAAAATTTTTATGAAACTATAAAATACCATAGGTAGCTGAAGTACCCTTGAACAAAAAAGAGCAAGTGGAGTTATCATACTATCTGGTTTTAAATCCTTGTAATGGTTTGAATATGATGGGAACTTTCTGTTTGAAGTAGATCCCATGATGAACACATCTGCAAAACAACACATTAAATTGTCAGGATAAACAATGAGCTTTAATGTCTGTGTTTCATAGATCTGAACGACTATTATTGATTTGTCTTAGAATAGTGCTTTCTCAAACTTTTTTTCAAAAGTAAATTTTAATTCATTTAAAGTAGAATTTGATTTTAAGCTCTAAGAACTTTGCCCGTTTTGAGCAAACAATTAATAAATATATGTGGATGTTTCCATGAATTTATAATAGTAATCATAAAACCATCTATCACTTTTAAAAGCCGATTTGGACCAGATGTTTGTTTGTTCCTTGGCACAGCCGTGCCTGGATGTGAATTCGTTTTATGATTCACAGAATCCCCAAGGGCCCGTGGTGATAGGATTGAAACCAGGCCAATTGATGTTTTAATCCTTTCTGTCCTTCAGGAAGAAATGGAATTAAAAACTAAGTTTCTGTTGTTCAGAATTTGTTGCACTGAGCTAAGATTATAGATAGAATGTAGTATTAGATTCTTGCTAAATGGATTTGTAATCTAAATTAGATATACAGGATAGTGACCTTGGCAAATAGAAGGTAGAAGTGAAAACTTCGTGAAAAGTCAGCAGAAACTGAGGAAGTTTGGAGATGGTGACTAACTTGTGAGTGGCATTTGCTGATCTTTATGAGGGTGTAGGACTGCAAAGTCACGGTGTTGGATCTCTCTTAACCTCCATGTATAACTTCACACACGGCACCTTGCTTTACTCTGTATTTCTTCAAGATGGCTCATACTTCACAGAGAAGATGGAGAGGCATATGAAAGAAAAAAGTTAACAGCACTTCAAATGGATAAACAAGATTGCACAGCACAATAAAATAACATGGGCACACTGTATGAAGTACATCTACTCACTATCTTATAAAGCAGGTGATGAGGAAATTAAAGCGTCACACCTCTCAGGGTATATGTCAAAGAAATCACAACCAGTACATTTAAAAGAAGTCACATTTTATTTCTACCTCACATAGTAAGCAAATAGTGTAATAGGTACATATGGTTCTGACCAGTTGATAATAAATTATTAAATGATAATTTCATGCATGTTAACTAACATAAGCCAATAGCTGTCACGTGTTTCTAAGCATTTTGTATAATATTAAATATGCTTCATAATATAGAAAACAGAAGCCTCAAACATTCCTAGATTCCGTGCAAAAGAGCCACATGTATCCTTTCCTCCTAAGTGAATACTTGGTGAAGGTATATTCTTGGAGACCCTGGATTAAAGACCCTAAAAGCCGGTATTGATTGCAATTGCAATGTAGTAATTAGTGTGAAGATGCAGATAATTTACTTCAGGAATATATTTCAGAGCCAGAACAAAATTCAGGACTGCATGGACACTATGTAAGCACTTTACCCCTAACCTACACACTCAGACCTAATAAACTCGGAATACATAAAAGTAGTTGGAAAAGCTGGGCATGCAGGTGCATGCCTTTAATCCCAGCACTCAGGAGGCAGAGGCAGGTGGATCTCTGTGAGTTCAAGGCCAGCCTGGACAACATAGTGAATTCCAGGATATCCAGGGCTATGTATAGAGAAACCCTATCCAAAAACAAAGCAACAACAACAAAAAGTAGTTGGAAAAAAGGTGTCTAATTTTAGATTGAAATAGGCAATTTTATGGATTTACTAACAAGTGAATTTGGGAGTTGTCTTGAGGACAGTGCTGATGACCTAAGAACAAGGAACTTCTCAGGAATGAGTGAAAGAAATGTATGGAGTATAGCTGTGTAGCATAAGAAATAATGGACACAGTCATAATGTTTGAAAAAGATTCACTGTGAAATCATTCTTTCAACTTCAGAGACATAATGTACTTACCAAAATAACGCACATGTACAATATGGAGAACACACTGACTAGTCTCTAAAAGGAACAGCATGAAGAAGTCCAACACAGTGTTTTCTTGCCCTTGTTCTAATAGACTTGGATGACAAAATCTTCAGCCTTCTTCAGAAGAACCACATCAATTCTCTCTCTCTCTCTCTCTCTCTCTCTCTCTCTCTCTCTCTCTCT